AGACTAAAAAATAGTTTAGCTTTTCTGAACCTCTTAGCTCACAACCTTTAGTGAAGACAAGAGTTAATTAAAAGTGGAGAGTTTAAAAAGAGATACAGAGGTCCTACACTGGAAAAAGAAAAAACAATGCACATAATAATAGACACATCTGCATATAAATATATGGAAGTAATGGATATGGAGGAGTTCTAAGTGAAGCAGCTTACGTAACTGCATGGAATTTTGTACATAACTGAACAGTTCTCATCCACATTTACTTTACACTATGAAGTAACTGCACTACAGATGAAAACCAAAATATTACTTCCTTCTCCACTATCATCATTTTATCTTTAAAAAAGCCTTGCCAGTAGATCAAAGACAAATGCCATCAGTGCAGGAAAGAGAAAGAAATAGCAAATGATCAAATCACCAAAGGATATTTGTCAATGTCTTTGTCTAACTTAGCAAGTAGATGCAAAGAAGAGGGAAATTACCTACAATGCCCATTACTCATTAAACACCCAACTCAGGCAACTAAGCTGGTCTCTTGAGAGTTCTACAGTTATTGAAGAGAGAGAAGCATCTGGGAAGGCTTCACTCTGAAAAGCTGATCTGCTGCAAAAAATATTTCTCTATTTACTATGACAGGAAAAAGCTGCTTAAGCCTGGTGTCTCTGGCTCAATGCTCAAAATTATAGCTTAATTTGTCAAGAATGGTAGAAAGAACTGACCAAACCACAAAGACATTTATAATTAAAGTAACAAAATAGTAGCAGTTCATTTTGGAGTAAAAAGAAGCATTGGGGCTACGAAGATACAGCCTAAATGTTACAATAATAGGATTTGTATAAATAATCAAATAAGATACCTATGAGCTGAAAACCATCTTTGCCATTCTACAGAGTTGTGGTCTCTGGGCAAGGATAACATAACATAAAGCAGAAAGAAAAAAGCAGTGGAAGGAAATGAACATTTTAAATATTCCTATTTTATCTGCAGGGTCAAATTTGTAACGAAAAAATGCCTGCAAAATCGTAGTAATAAACACTTCTAAATTGAGAAAAAATACTGCATATTAAATATACGAAATACTATAAATACTTCTAAATTGAAAAAAATACCTGTAAGCATGGTCTTAAAAATTCCCAAGCAAAGACCATAATGCAAAAGTATTTTAAATTAATGAAAAATAACTTGCAGTCAGGATGAAATTTAAAATTATTATTATTATTATTATTATGGCAAAGCATGAAAAGTTCAATACCTACCATATTTTCTGGGCATTTTTCACAAGTAACAGAGAACCCACCATTACTGGAAACCATCCTGTATCCTGGCTCACATACACAGGAACGACCTGAAAAAAATAAAGCAAATGCACTTTTAATCTATATAAAACTGACTGTTTTTTACAGAATACTAAAAACTGCTGTTGCAAGAGATAAATATGGATTATTAGATAGACACATAAAACACCTGAGATGTGCATGAAAATCATCTTGCTTTTTAAAAATATCCATATTACAATTTGTACACATATGTTCTAGGAAAGTGTTACAAGGCTGACTGATCCACCAGGGTGCAACAGCAACCCAAAACTTGTGGTTTTGGGTTTTTTTAAAACCAAACAGATATAATCTCTCCATCTAAATCTTGCCACAGTGACTTTCTCAGCCCATTTTCTCTACCACACCAGCATAATATGTTTGTATACAGTTTTATTTCCATAGGAAGTCAGTCCTAAAAACAAAACATGTTTAATGTTTATATTCAAAGTTTTTTTAAAATTTAGCTGTCATAGGTAAAGCTGTTTTAAATTTGCAAAGCTTTTAAAATTGTGCATGGGGATCAAACTTTACACTCAATGGTTTTCAGTGACTAACAGAACACACCTAACATTTAGTATGAAATGAAACACCACTTTCATAGCACATCATAGTGCACATCTGCTAGTGCTCAGCAACCTTTTTGTTTTAGAAATCTTTTCAGTCTATCAGACTTCTTACCATTGAAACACATACTACAAACCAAAACTGACTGTATGTATTAATAAACTTCATTTATTATTACTTAAGCTTGTTGAATTGTGCATGTACAAATAATGTAAAATTCTGTGAAAAGTTTAATAGCCTTAAAGTACATCTTCACGAGATCAGTTGCCCAGAAACATTTGTCAAAGGGATGAACTACTCATAATTGTAAAAAAGACCATTAGGATTATGTCAGTGAAGAGCCTTGAGTTGTGACATTCACTGTGACAATACCTAAATTTGTAGGCATGTCGTTTGATGGCAGAATCCAGTGATGAGCTATCGAGGGAGTGTATGGGTAGACTTGTGCAATCACAAGTGGAATTCAGCCAAGATGCAAAGAGCAGACTGAACTTCACCTACCTACATTGCTCCCCTCAGATGCTCCATGAAAAAAATAAACCCTTGACCTCTACCTGGAATTTATGTCTCCCTGAAGCCCCTGACTTAGAGGATTTAGATTTTGAGGAAGATTCAGCCTAAAAGGGAGTTATGGATCTAGAAACCCACATTATCAGATCTGAAAATGATTACAGGGTATTTTTTTTTTCTGTAAGTAAACTACGGGATTACTCTTGAGGGTGCCATGTTGGTGGTGAAGAGGTGACCACCTTTTACACAGCAGTTGTGGAAACAGCCATCCACGTCACTGCCTCTCACTGAGGTACCAGCTCTTAAGAGATGCTGTTGGGTTTTAGTCTCAAATTTATGTCTGTACACATGACAGCGAACTCCCACTGTTATCAAACCATCTCATCCCCTAAAGAAAGCGACTGACCATCTGGATTTTCCATCCAGTGCTCTCACGGTGTGTTGTATCTGCTCCAAGCTCCCGTGTGGGGCTCGGACCAGCACGGGCACAGCCTGAGGATCTCGGACACGCACATTCAACTCCGACACCACCTCTGACAAGGAGTTTTAAGTTACCGAAATGTTCAAGAACATAATTTCAGGACTCTGTGGGATTTTACCGATGAAAACGCAAATACCCATAACCATACAAATGCCTGAGGAAAGAAAGATTATTAAGAAAGGTTTTATTTAAAAAGGCTTTATTTAAAAAGCCGTTTTCCTGGGCTGTATCTCAGACTCATCACAGCTGCGGCCACTTGGGTCTTTGAGGCATCCTGCCGCTTTTCGCTGCCTTCAGACCCGCCCCGGTGGGGGTTTCACCGCCACAGCATGAGCCCCGATTTTGCGCCTCCCGCTGCTGGGGGTGGGATCCAGCGCGGAGCCCCGAGCGGCCCCGGGAGCGGGCAGCGCCGCCTCCCCCCTCGCTCACCGCCGGCGCTCTGCCGCTGGTGGGCTCCGCAGGGCGCGCAGGCCAGGCGGGAGCTGTCGAAGTAGCGGTCGGCGGGGCAGGCGGCGGGGCGCTGGAGCGGCACGGCGGGGGCGCGGGCGGGGGGCAGCGCCGCCCACACCGCCATCAGCAGCGCTGCGGCCCCGGCCCCGCCGCCCCGCGCCGCCATGGCCACCGCCGCTACGGCGAGCGCCGCGGGCCAGCCGCCGCAGTACGCGAAGCGTCCGCGGGGTGTGTGTGTGGGGGGGGGTGGTACAAATCCGGGATTAGAGTGCGGGCTGAACTGGGGTTGGTTTTTCTGTTTTACGGGAGATCGGGAGGAAGCCACCTTTGTGTCCCGGCGAGTCCCGGATTGGGCTTGCCTGTACTTCGTCTCTATAACGGTGTATCGTACTAATGAAGCACTTGTTTGTAACTTCCCCCCTGTGAGAGGATACTGGTACAGTGAAAACACTTTTCACTGAGGTGAAAACACAAAATGCCTAGAGGAACGGATACACAGCCGAAGTTAACCCCCCTTTACCTCTTTCACCTTTGTCGGGATGTTCGTGCTCCCATTCCACAGAATGACAGAATGGGTCAGGCTGGAAGGGACCACAGTGGATCGTTTGGTCCAACCTCTCTGCTCAAGCAGGGTCACCCCGGAGCACATGGCACAGGACTGCATCCAGACAGTTCTTGAATATCTCCAGCGAGGGAGACTCCACAGCCTCTCTGGACAATCTGTTCCAGTGCACGGTCACCCACACAATAAAGTTCTTTCTCATGTTCAGGTGGAAATTCCTGTGCAACACTTTCTGCCCATTGTTTCTTGTTCCATTTCCTCAAATGTTACCAAAACTTTGCAGGGTACTTTGTGCCCTGGTTATTTTACCCGTTGGTGTGCTTGATTTCTGGAAACCTCCACCTTGCATCCTGTGCAGGAGGAGCAATGTCTCCTTTTTAAACTAGACTGTGTGTGTTTAGAGAGTCCTAAAATTGGCAGCATTACTAAGTGAATCTACCAAAAATAACACGGTTTCTTTTATTATTATTTGTTTATTTGAAATGGAGCAGATAAATGCTGAATAAGTTTAGAAATACAGGGGAGAATTCATAAAGGCAAGTGGGATAAACACTAGAATAAAATAACTACCTCACCTGCCCAACACTCCTGCCTCCGCCCTTCCCTTTACACAGCCCGAAACCTTTCCTCCTCCTCTGCCATTCTCCCATCCCTGCCTGCCTTTCCTCCCCAAACCCAGGCTTAAGCCAGCCCGAGCCAGGTTAGAAATCGCGTCTGCCGGTGCCGGCAGAGCAGCGGTGAGCACAGACCCGCTCCTCAGTTCTGAGGCAGCAACGGGTATGAGCCTGAGCAGAGCGCGGCGGCCGAGCCCCGCAGCCAGCCGTGTGACGGATCTCTGTGTACCGATGTATTATAAACTCTATCATTACGCAGACCGATCATTATACACCTCTATTTACAATGGGACCGCAGGGCCGCCCCCGGCCCACACGGCGCATGCGCACTACCTGCGGCGCGCGCGGGCACCGCTGTGAGCGGAGCGCGCGAGGGGGCGCACGCGCGGCAGGGGCGGTGGGGGCGGGGTCACGGTCACGGGGCAGCGGCGTGTCCCGCCCCGCCCGTAGGGCGCGTGCGCAGTCCCGCGCTGGCGGCTCGCGGCGGGGCTGGCGGGCCGGAAGCGCTCGCGCGGCGCAGTCGCCCCTCGGCGCGAGGGGGCAGCGGCGGCGGCGCCATCTTGGCGGGGCCGTGCGGGAGCGGCGGGGCCCGTCCGACCGCAGCCCGGTGGGTTCTGCATAATGGCGTGAGGGACAGCGCCCGCCTCCCCGGCGAGCGGCGTGCGGCCGAGGGCGGCGCGGGGTTTGCGCCGGGAGCCGGCTCTCGGCAGTCCGACCCTGGCGGAACCGCTGCGCGGCCGCTCCCCGGGCCTCGGCCTCCTCGTGCCGCCGGGTTTCCTATCCCCCTTCCCCGCTCCCGGTGCCTCCCTCAGCCCTGTCCCGGTGCCGAGAGGCGGCCGGGCTTCTCCGTGACGGCGGAGCGCGACCGGCTCTGTCGGGCCGGAGCGCGTGTGGCGCGGGGCAGCCTCCCTTCGGCCCGTCCCCCTCGGCCGTGCCCCGGTCCTGCCGCCCCCGGCCCCGCGCTCCGGCCCGGCTGGGCCCTGCAGCGGCGGGGGTGTTCGGAGTATGAGCGGTGCTCCAGCCAGCCCAGCTACAGAGCTCAGTTGCGTCTTCCTCCAGCGATGTGCTAAGTGCCATTAGCAGCAGCCTGCTTCCACTGTTAAGGCTTATTTTGAAGAATAAGAAATCTTCCTCTGATCCACCGGTTATTTTTACATTGGTTCAGTTTACAGTCGGAGTGTTTCTGTGTGTGTTGTTTCTAGCTTGCATACAGACTGTGTAATCTCTGAATGTTGTGGTTAAAATACTGGTCTAGTGCAGGCTTAGTTTTCCACAGTGTTTACAAATTGTGGGTTTATTTTAATGGCTTTAATGGTATTTGGAATTTCTTGAGGCTGTGGAAGAATAGGTATAGTACTGTTTTCTAGTCAGCTTTGTTTAAATATAAAATGTCATAAAACTGTTTGCTTCTCTGCTTTTCAATTGATAGCATGAAGTTGTCAATCTGTTCTCCAAATCCTTGCTCTCTGAAGTCCCTGCTCAGATAATGAATTGGTCTTACTTTTCATGACAAGTCACTGATTTTGGTCATTCACTTTAAATAGCTGGATGGCTTGTCTGTACCTTCTACCCACACTTGATTGTTTAATATCCGGTCAGTGAGAACTTATTACGTGAGCTTCCTTTTTTGTTTGTGGACTTTACTTAGAGATCACATTATGATCTGGAATCACTGTGTCTAGTTTTCACCACTGAAGGTTGTGTGTTGTGTCCCTGGTGCATCGTGGAGAACTTGCACTTTATCACCGAAGAAGTACGGAGGAGAGCTGTTGTGAATGATGTTTAAAAATTGGGATAAGAATGTGGAGTTGTGAAATCCAGGAGCACTACAGATTAAATACATCATGAAGTAGCAGGGCAGCGGATTTTTTGAAGACATGATGGTGCTGTATGAAAATTCTGCCCTTGAATTCTCCATGCTTTTTGGCACTGCCGTTGCATCTGTTGAGAAGAGACGTAAAGTTCTGGGTCTGGCTGGGACGGAGTTAATGTTCTTCACAGCAGCCCATACAGTTCAGTGTTTTGGATTTGTGGCTGAAGGAATGTTGACAACACATCAGTGTTTTTGGCTGTGGCTAAACAGTGCTTGCACAGTGTCAAGGCTTTATCTCTTTTCCTACTCTGCCACTCCAGCGAGTGTGCTGAGAGTAGGCGAGAGGGGACGTGGCTGGGACAGCTGACCCAAACTCACCAAAGGGATATTCTGTGCCATATAACATCATGCTCACCACCAACAACTGAGGTAGAGGAAGAAGTATTTTGATGGTTTTGGTTGCTTAGGGGGGATTTTCTCTTGTCTCCCAAGGTGGTTGTAATTTCAAGGTAGGCTGGACATCAGTCAGCCTGTAGGAGGTAATGAGTGATTTTCTTTGGTTTGCTTTTTTCTCCTCACTGATGAGACTATCTTTATCTGGCCCACGAGTTCTCTTGACTTTGTTCTTCCTATTTTCTCTCTTGTCCTGCTGATGGGGACGAGGAGGTGCTGTGTGGGTGCTTGGCTGCTGGCTGGAGTCGGCTCGCCACAAAAGTAGAGAACAGATGGTCTTTAGAGAAGTTATTAAATAGGCAGTTGTTTTCTGTTGTGCTTGCAAAGTGCTGATGTAGAAGTGACATAAAATCTATTGCTTAGAGAATTTGGGCTTTGCACTTGTTTTGCTAAGTTCAGTTGGAGTGATAGTCATGGTTACTGAAAGACAACTTGTCATTAGGATCTGGTGCTTTACGTTATTGTGCAAAGGTTTTGGGTTGTAGGAGCAATGTTGTCAAATGCTTGGAGTGTTGGGCTGTTGTGTTTGTGTTGAAGGGAGGCAGTCATTTGCTACAGAAGCTTGTGCTTGTTCTCAGAGTACTGTGCTATTTATTGTGTGATGTTAGATATGTTGAAAATCAGGGCACATTTAAGTCGGTGTAGTAAAGCATTTCTCACTCTTTTGTGTAAATGGCAATACAGTAAAGATACAGGGAAAATACTGAAGTTGGCTTTGTAAATTCAGGTATTTTCCAAAGTTTCTCCTTGTTGGATATTTTTGTTCTTTCATTTGGTGGTCTTCACTGTGTACATTAAGTGTAGTGCTGGACTGGTGCGTAGCATACTCTTGTTGTGAACCTTGAAACCAGGTGGATCTCAGAAGAATGGACACGTCCTTTAATCCTGAGATGGACTTAAGCATCTTTCAAGGACTCAGTTGAGAGTTTTTCCCTCAATACACTGGCAGTCTGTTTCACTGCAACAGTTCAGTGTGGCACAATTGATGACCAAGTAATCTCATCGTATTTCATCGTTTCCAGAAGTCAACTTAAATTTTGAGTATCTTTTGCTTCTAAAATGGAAACACAAAGATGCAGTGCATAGCATCTTGGAACATGGAAGGAGTTCTTCACATGGGTTCATAACATGTTTGGCTTTATTGTAACCACTGCTATGGATGAGCTGCAGCAGTGTAGCACAGTATGTAAAGCAAAGTACAGGTATCAGCCATTAATTATGTTTCGTTTTCTTTCCACAGTTAAGTTGATTTTACAGAATTTATCAGGTCTCCAAAGCAGAAACAGGTAAGCTGCCAAAAGCTTAACACTTCTCACTGAGTATTGTGACAAGATCATACACAGCCTTTTTTTCTCACATGTTTGTGGCTGGGAACTAGGATATGCTCTCCTGAGTGCTCGTGGCTGCTGCAGTTAAAATTCTGACTACGTCAAAGAGACAACTTCTTTGAATGCTGAGAAAACATGCATTACTGAACAGAACTGATCACTGGGTAGAGCAACTTGTCAAAGCAGTAAAGGCATCACTGTTTGTGAATTATGTCATTTTCCAATGACATAGTTATTCTCTTTCCTTTCTCCTTTTATCAGCTAGTGTCCTGTTCAAAAGCAAACAGGATTTTTTTGTTCCTTCGGACTGGGCAGAGATCTCTGGCATACAGTCACTATGCCATGAAAGACCTGAGGTGTTCTTTAGGTATTGTGGATGGTGAGGAGTGACTTAGGTGGATTTTGTTGCCCTTAGGATAGGATAGGGAATATTGATAGATTTGTGCACGAGTGCTGGTGGAGTAGCTAATTGTTCTGACTAATCAACATTCAGTGAATTGTGTTTTAATCTCGTTCTTGTGAACTTGTGGGTTTTTTGATACCTTCTGTCTTGATTGAGACAAGGGCATTCATTAAAAAGGCTCTAGCTTCTTAAGTGATAAGATACTGTAATAGCTGAGTACTAAAGACGTGCTATCATGTGTACCTTTTTGTCTGCAGGTGATTTTTGCTGTGGGTTGAGCTCAGCATGGCTGTAGTCATCCGTTTACAGGGGCTTCCTGTTATTGCGGGTCCTCCAGATATTCGTCGTTTCTTCTTGGGATTGAATATTCCTGATGGAGGTGTGCATATTATTGGAGGAGAGCTTGGGGAGGCTTTTATTATATTTGCAACAGATGAAGATGCACGGCGTGCCATGAGCTGTTCAGGAGGGTTTATCAAGGACTCACGTGTAGAGCTCTTTCTCAGCAGCAAGGCAGAAATGCAGAGTACCATAGAAATGAGCCGGAAACGATTTGACCGTGGGGGACGAGAAACTATGTCTAGCTCTAGAAGAACAGGTACTAATGGTTCTGGTGCATCAGGTGTTGGAGACATGCCACATTTAGTCACAGCTTCTCCAAAAGGAGTAAGAAAACCTAGTTACGGGCCACCAAATCGCCTAGAGGCTGGTTTCCATACCAATGGCACGAGACACGGTGATATGGGTATACCTAAGTCAAACTATCAGTTAAGAAAGGATTCTCACCCATTTAACCCAGATGACTGTTACTTATTTCTACGAGGTATACCTTACTCTGCAACAGAAGTGGAAGTACGTGCTTTCCTTTCTGGGATACGCGTGGATGAAGTAATTCTGATAAAGCACCGCAATGGTTTAAACAATGGTGATTGCTTGGTAAAATGTGCTACACCTGGTGATGCCTTGGAAGGACTTAAACGTCACAGACAGTACATGGGTCAGAGGTTTATAGAAATTAGTCCAACAACGGAGGAACGGTGGATTGAATGTGGTGGCAGGGTGGACATGCCAGATGAAATGGATCACTTTTTCTGTGAAGACCTTTCTCCAAAAAGTTCAGGCTACATGCATTCAAGGAGGCATTCCCGTTCAAGATCGCCAAGGAGACAAAGAACGCGTTCTCGTTCGTCTCCCAGCCAGGAATATTACATACACCTAAGAAATCTATCTTTTAATGTGGAGAAGAGAGATTTGAGAGATTTTTTCCCTGATCTGGATATATCCAGCAAACAGATCAAGATTCTAACAGATAAGCATCAGAAAAGGACTAGAGATGCCTTTGTGATGTTAAGGAGTGAGAGAGAATACCAGGCTGCTTTGGAATGTCATAGAAAGGTTCTTCTCAATCGTCCTGTTTACATTTTTCCAATTTCAAGAAAGTCAATGTTGAAAATAATCGATTCTTGTGAGAGAAAAAGATCACTAGACAGAGATCATCCTGGACAGGCTATATCAGAAAAAAGTTACCGGGAAGGTCATTCCAGCCCTAAAATGTGTGTTTATGTCAGGAATTTTCCATTTGATGTGTCAAAAATTGAAGTGCAAAAGTTCTTTTCAAGATTTGATATTGATGAAGATGATATTTATTTGCTCTATGATGAAAAAGGACTTGGACTGGGAGAAGCACTAGTGAAGTTTAAATCTGAGGAACAAGCCATGAAAGCAGAAAATTTAAATCGTCAAACATTTTTGGGAACAGAAGTATTAATAAGACTTATATCTGAAGAGCAGATGCAGAAGTTTGGTGTATCCATACCATTATCTGCACCGAATGAAGTGCATGGTCATTCACATCCGTATGACAGAGGTGAGCTTTCCCGTCCAGTTGGTTCACCATCTGGGCCACCACAAGGGCCACCCATGCATTCATTTGGTCCCCCCGGGAACTTTAGGCATCATTCTGAATTTAGACACCCCCCTGAGGACTTCATGTGCCCTCCTAAGGATTTTAGGGGTCCACCACCCCTCATGGATTTCGGTGGTGACAGTGAACCTTTTGGCAGAATGGATTTTGGGAATAATAAAATGGGAAATTTTCCTGAAGGAAGATTTATGCCGGATCCAAATTTCAGTGGCGGTTCTGAGCGTGTTGTTCCTATTCTATTGAAAAATCTACCTTTTAAAGCTACTCCTAATGAGATTCTGGATTTTTTCTATGGCTACAGAGTGATTCCGGAGTCAGTTTCTGTGCAGTACAATGAACAAGGATTACCTTCTGGTGATGCCATTGTTGCTATGACAAACTATGAGGAAGCTATGGCTGCTATTAATGAACTGAATGATAGGCCGATTGGTCCACGGAAAGTTAAGCTGAGCTTGCTGTAAAGGAGGAAAAGATGCTCTGTAGTAAAACATTGTAGGTTTGCCAGTATTGACAGTTATTTTACCTTTTTTAATTACTGGAACATCCAAAAGAAACAGTTTCCATCAACGGTTGTAAATAATACCCATTTCAGTTGTTTAGCTCTTGGTTGAAATGTCTGTAGGACATTGAAAGTCATTCATCAAGGTCTAAAGGGATGGAGTTGTAATGCTTTGGATTTTTTTTTTTTTAGTTTGTTTTAATTCCATGTCCTGTGTCTTTGCATCAAATACAAATGTAAATGCTGGTTGACTGACCACGCCAACGGTTCAAATAGACGATTTTCAGTGCTACCTGCATTAGTAAATAACACTTCTTACGGAGGTTAGCTTAAAATTTAAAAGATGACTGATTTTTATATTTTGGGGTTTTTTTTGGTTTTGTGTAAACTTCAGGTTTTATTCGGTTTCATGTGTTTGCAGGCATTCCTGTTAAAAAAAGAAATAAGAGCTTCCTGTTCACCTTAGCTGGCTTTGCAACTTTTTTTTAAATAAAAAGGAAATTGCCATTTAAATGTGTGTCTTCTATTTAAAATTTGAATAGTTAATGGTCTATTACGCTCAGCAGATGTGGGTCTTGGTGGGAATGATGCTGGCTGCTTCCTCTGGGAAGAGTGAACTGTTACAGTTTGCCAACACAGTGAAGAACAGGTAGTTAGTTTACAGAGTCTGTATTAATTAATTACAGTCTGTATTAATCAGTTGGACAGGTTTTCTTCTCGCTCACTGTAGTACCTTGAGGCAGAAAATGAATATTGAAATCAGATCAAGAATTCTGATTTCAGTGGTCTTCATTTTTATCTTCACATTCTGCATAATATGAATACTAGCTTGCTAATGATGTTTGGATACATTCCAGGTCAATCTCTGATTAGTTTTAACTAACATCTGTCACTGGTAACCAAGCTGACAACCAACTATGTTATTTTCTTATGTAATAAAATAAATACTTATGTCAGCATTTAGAACATGTTGATTTGATTGGTTTGGTACCACCATATTTAAATTTTAGGAGGAAATAAAAGCTAGCTTGGAAAAGCTGCATGTTCAAAATTCAGGCTTAGTAGGAAACTTTGGTTGTGTGCATAAGGACTTTTTTTCACACTGCAACTGTGCAAGATAGTATTTGGAGTACTAAAGAATTCCATGAATTTTAGTCCCCTCAGACTAGGACAGCAAAGTTGCAGCTGGGCAGTTAAAACTTCTAACCTTTGCCTGGGCAATAGGAAAAAATCATAAATTCATGGAGTAGGGAGGTCTCTACTCCAACCCCTTCCTCAAAGCAGTATCATCTAGATAAGTTACTCAAGGCCTTCAGTATTTATTAGCTCTAAGGACAGAGCTCTTCTGGGCAACCTGTGATGGCTCACTGGTGGGTTAAATATTAATTGCTTTATTTATGTAAAGTCATCATCATAATTGCTTAACTTTCACATAAACTGTTAAGTACAAGCAAACGAAATTGAGAATTTTTTGTTCTGTAATTTTTAAAAGGTTAGTGTAGCTTTATATCTTCTGCATATTATTTGTTCTCTATTTTAAGTGCCCAGAAAAAAACATTTTGAATGAAAATGCAAGGTCTGTGTATGTAGCAAAGAAAAATATGTGGCTAAGGTTTAAGTTCTGAACACTTTACAGTTTTTTGCTGTCTGGTAGGAATTAGCTTCAGAATCATATGGCTCTGAATCCTCTGAATTTAAAGGGATTTAAAATAAAACCCACAAAGTTGTGCTTTTATTTCATAGTTTCTATGAAAGGATCAAGGAGCCAGAAGACTTTGCAGGTAAAGATATGAGAATCCTCAAAATAAACTTCCCTGACGTTATAATTATGTTGAAAACTTAATTGTGATTATTTTTGTAAGCCAATATTTTTACTGCTAAGCTGTGTTGTAAAAGTGAATGCAACTAACTTCTCCAGTTAGTCAGCTTTAGATCATTTGCTGGTTTTAAAGTTCTTCCAGCTGCTACACAGCAGGAGATTTCAAACTTGGAGGCTGGAAAGACAGGGGAGTTAAGTAGGTTTTTTTGCCAGTAAAATGTGAGAATTTCTTTTAGAAATAACACCTGTTGCCAAAAAACCTAAGTGTAATTACTGATAAAATACCATTAATTTTTGGGATGGTAAATTTCCCTCCCCCTCCCCCTTAGTGAACATATAAAAAGAATCATGAAGCTCGTAATGGCAGAGGTCATAATTGAGGCATTTCACAATGGTTTTCTGTTTGCCCTATAGCTAATTAGCATTTAATTTATTTAATTTGTATTTAATTTAAAGCCAGCTTAGAGTTTATGACTATTTTAGTTTATCTGAAATGTTTGATTGACAGGCCAAAGAAATAATTATATTTTCAAGGTTTATAAATACAAAAGCCGTGTTCAAAGTATATACAGATGAACTTGAAGCGTAGGGAATTTGGGAAGGGATGCCAGTATATCAGTGAAATAATAAGGTTACTAGAATAGTTGATTCTTAGTTTATAGCTGTTCTCTGATTGGCGTTTTGGTTCTGTATGTGTCTATCCTTTTCTGTCTCCCTTTTCCCCCTGGGATGTGATACAGACATTATATTCTGATTCTGGCTGAATAGGTGGTACACATGCATGGTGTGGTGGCAGCATTTCCTGATAATAGGGTTATATAACTTTAGATGTTTAATGGCTTGAAGGCACTGTACTTTTGGTACAATGGACAAATCAGAAGCCATCTTATAATTACATGACTTGAAATACTCTTCTTCCTTTTTAAGTATCATCCACATAGTAAAAGAAGAACAAATGAAATGCTGCATTTGTGATGTTGATATAAAGCACAGCAAGTTTCCTTAGTTATGCCTTCTCTGAAGTTGCTTTTGCTATTATTGCCCAAAAATTCTGATGTAAAGGAGAACAGTCTCTATTGTCAAGAACTAGAAATAGTGATCACCTACTGAAGCAGCTTGAGGTGTTCAGGGAAGCTGTAACAGCACAGTCTGTTTAGAAGAAGATAACCCTTAATCCCAAAAGGAATGTGCCAGCATTTTCAACAGTGGCAAAATAGTCTTAGCAAGAATGGATACAAGCCTACATTGTCTAGGTGTCAGTAGTCAAAAATATATGTTAGTGGGTAATGTCAGTCTTGCAGCAAGCACTTCTGCCACGAGAAAAATCTTTGCAGAAGTATCTTTTAATTCTGTAATTATGTTATAAATTATTCTGGCTCTAAAGTATTTTAATCAGGGACTTTTCATCTGTAGTTTCAAGGTCACACAACTGCTGTGCAACATGCAAACTTAAGACATCATACACGCAGGACAAAGTTGCCCCACACTATTTCTCCTGTTCTGGAACTTTGTAATTCCTGAAGTTGACTTTTTTTGTGAGGTAGTGAGAAGGAATTTGAAGCTGCTCAGGAAAACAAACCCCTCATTCTTACCCTAGCTGCTAATGTTTTAGGGGGGAATTAATTGAACATGGCTGCCTTTTTTCAGCATTCCTTTCAAGGCATAGTACACAAATAATCACTATTTGCATATATGTATATGATATGAAAACCTGGTATTGTTATGAAGTTTGCCATCTGTTTTGGAGATGGACTACTTCATTGAGTATGAAATGGTAAAGTGGTGAACACCATAATTCTGATGCTGTGATACAAATATTTATTTAAGCACCTTAGTTGCTGAAATAGATGGGAATCGGTTACCTAGATACTTTTAAAATTGTACTCCTTCGTATTTACTCCTTGTCAATAGTATGTAATTCTGGTGTAAAATTATTTTTTGGGTTTAAAACAGAACCTTTTATTGTGACGTTTTCATCACGTTAGTTTTTGGCGAAACCTGGTTCTTTCACATCAGAATAGGTATGCATTGCATATTTTGCATCAGTGGAAAAAGGCAGCATCAATACTATAAATGCACTTTTTGGTTTATTTCCATAATTTAAAATTTTTTTCCCAGCAACAAGTTCCAAGTCTATATTTATGCATGCGTTTGTTCTTTAACTAAAGCTGAACAGTGTGGTAGCAGCTTTCTGGCAGACAACTGTACACTATTAAAAAAAATGAACATGTGTATCACCATCTCCAAACAGAATACGAAATTACACTCAAAATGTGTAATTTCTTGTGTGTTTGATGGAATCAGTAACTGAATCATGTAGTTAAACACATGAAATTTGAACTATATATAGCACGTCAGCTAATGTAATAAACACCAACTGCATAAAATATCCACTAATTTTATAATGAAGGCACTTTTATTTAAAGCAAAGCAGCATTAAACGTAGACACTGGGCTCGGTCCTTATTTGTGAGCATTCATTCTGTATGTGTAAAGGAATCAAGTCATCTTAGCCTGAGGAAAGCCTGAGGAAAATGAAAACGAGAAAACAATACACCTCACCCTGCCATCTGCAATCCAAGGTGGGTAACAGTGAAATCTTAAAATGCTGTTGCTGCAAACAGTTTCTTGTTTACTACAATTAATTTAGGATGTATAAACCCAATTATGACAGGTACAGCTAGAGGACTTACTAAATGGAATAGGTGTTTAGCTAAAGAACAAGGTAATATATTGGCAAAGTAACCAGCAAACCCTTATGTTCATAATTGCTTGTCAGCTTAGTGCAGTTTTTGGACACTGTTTATGTAAGTTTAAGCAAATATGTGACTGCAATACAACATTTATGCAAATATAATACAGGATTCTATTTAAATATTTCATTTTCTAACTACTGAAATTGTCCATTTTCAGCAGATTTTGTTCCATTCTTTGAAACTGGTCATTTGTTGTCTGGCACTGTAGAATTAGTGCTGATTCTTGTTCCTGTTAGAATTTTAAATATACAGCCTCAGTGAAATTTTAACACACAAAAGCCTTTAGGTAAAGGGATTTTTTCCCCCTTAATAAAAAACCCCCTCTTAGAACAGCTTTGTTATCTCACTTCCTTAGTAGCATCAAATTCCTCCTCATCATCCTCCTCTTCCTCATCCTCATCTTCCTCCTCCTCTTCATCTTTTCTTTGCATACTGCGGGAAATCTGCCAAAACAAAAATCCAACAGAAGTAAATCTAGTGTTTGTTCTGCTCAAAGAAAAAACAATTATATGTTGGCATTTCCAGTCTATTTATAGTTTTTTGTTTGGGGCAGAGCGTAAGTTGTTTGTCCCTTAACCCTTCATAACATGCAAGCCAATGGAAAGATACATGGCACAGAATAAAAATACTGTAATGATTTTTAAAAGCTAAAAAAATCCCCATAGTCATGACAACTATTATAGGATTGGGAAAACTATACTTTGATCCAATTAATGCTAAAAATCAACAAGATGCTTGTTCTTGGGTTGGCTGTTGAGACAGCAGGCTGAAGATGAGTATTAGGGCCTAATCTTGTCTTGAAGACATCAGTTCAAAACTATGCTGCTCTAGGTTTGGTTTTTTTGAGAATGAAGTAGACAAACTTTATTAAAAGTCTTCATTCACAGATGAACTTCTTTCCCTGCCCATCAGTGCTTGCCCTTCAGAATGACATTAGTCTCCTTTCTTTGGTTCATCAAACATTAAAAACAAGTGCCAGCTGCCAAGCTTTCATCTCATCTGGCAGACTCTGCAGTCTGTACTTTTTTCTAATGAGGGTTCAGTCTAATTCCTATTGAAGATAGATTCTTCACAGACGATGCAACATTTACAATTTAATGTAGGATATATGGCGTTCTTTTTCTTTCCCCATGAGAAAGGGAACATTAAAGATAGTTATCCAAGTCATCTCGAATGCTTTTGAAAAATGATTTCAGGTTCAGCAGTTCTCTAAGAGCATCTGCATCTCTAATTTTGGTTATATTTTCTGTGTTTTCTCACATACAGTGATATAATAAAACTTCTGTATTGAAGACAAAACTTGTCTTTTTTTTAAACAGCCCCTTATTTTAAAAGTCCTTAAATGCTCATTATTAAATTGACTTCTGAGATGTTATAATTCATACAGCCATGTATGTAACACAAGATTGTGTGTGCATAAAGCAAACTGCAATCATTGAACTAATGAAAGCAGAAAAATCTTTAGTCTTGTTAATGCTCACAAAGCACATACTTTAGCTTCAAGCAAACGCTCGCTTACAAATTTCTGAACATAATAGAAAACACACTTAATCATCGGATGAAGCTGGGTTAACTTGAGCTGAAATGCCTAAAACAGCAATCTCATTCTGTGAAAGGAAAAAAAAAGACAATGACACTGATTTGTAATTGGAGATCAAGGAATGCTGCAGATTGGCCTTGTTAAGGTAGTGTCATTTCAATTGGATAGACTAATTTTCCTGGTTTTTTTCTAGTTAAGAGTATCTGAAATTCTTAAATGGAACTTGCATCATATGTCTGAAGAAAAGCTCTCCCTTCCCCTTTCCTGAAATAAGAGGTGTTGGTTTTGGCTTTATGGCCTTTTTGTGTTCACTCTTCAAATACCTCTCACCATGATGTAAGTAATTAAATAGTACATTATATGTTATCACTGATGGTTGTAAGGAAATTAGGCAGTTTAAATCCACCGTATCGTGCCACAGAACTAGAACATACTAGTACCTGAAAATTTAATTTCTGATTACTTCATGCCAAAAAAATTTAAAATAATAATAAAAGAAATCTGATAGTTTGTTGCTCATAAATAATTTTATGTGAAGATTAATTCTATGAGTTTGCATGTAGGTGTGATGACTGTTCTTGTTTAAGCTGTTCAGCTCCATGTTTCACTGCAGGTGTTACTAGAGAAAGCATGGCAATCTTTTCTTCATGTCTTGGGCAGTGGGCAGTGTTGGAGCATTCAGATGCAGACATTTTCAATAACTTTTAGAATGATACTTTGCTGTCCTAGAGAGTCAGTGCAAAGCACTTTGTTATATTAAGCGCATGTAGATAAACCTTACGTAGTTAAGTTTGATTTAAATGATTTGAATGTTATTTTCTTCTGCTATAGTTCTAAAAATACAGCATATACCAATTTGAATCATTAAAAGAAAATGATAGGCTAAATTGCAAAGTAAAGTGCAAAATGAAGGAGGTAGCTCTTTGTGAACAATGTATCAAGCTCAAGGACTAGTTTAGATTTTTAATATAGAAATAATACAGAAAGTTAGTCCACAGAACCAGAAATAAATTCAAGGATGGTATGCCTTAAATCTTCTGAAAGACCTGAACTGTGTTACTGTCACAGTTTATTCCATCTCGTATGCAGTGACTTCCCCCACCGTCCCCCACCTACGGGTTAGTGCTGGCATGTATGTGTCTGTCCTCCCCCGCCCCACAACCCTCGGCTGAGTGATTCTGTGAACTGCTTACCATATTGTTTATGTTGCTTTGCACTGGAAATTGTAAAGTGCTGCCTTGTAGTTAGTAAGGGATAACTGTGTAGCAGGAAACTAGACTTGTGAAAAATTTGGGAGTGAAAGATCCCCAGAAAAGATAAAACAAGTCACCTGAAGGTTTTTCTGAATACGGCGCTTTTTTTCTCTCATGAGATGTTTGGTGGGTACCAGAGATTAGAGCCCTTAGTGCAATTCAAAACACACTATTTGCAGAATCAGAAAGGGCAACATGGGGAGTGTGTGGAATAGGCTGCCTGCCCCTTCTTGACTGCCCTGTAGTGACTACATTAGGAGGGTGTTCCACTCCTTTTTTTCTGCCATATGATCCTCTGCAGATACACTGCGCAGCCAAGTAAGATGATGTTATTTTGAAATGTATTGGAGTTTTCCTTTAGATCTCGATGACCTCCTGTTCTTTTCAGATATTCCAATGAGATGTTATGAGAACATTAACACCTGAAGTTATAACTAAGAGAGAGGTCTAGGTAAACTTGCAAGTTAGTCAGAATGGAGTTCCATGCCATCTCTGGGAATAATCACAGTGTACATACACTCACTTTCCTGTTGCTTTGGGTTTTTTCTCTCTCACATTTTTTGAAGTAGCTTGAACATGAAATTTGCTTGTTTGATAGAGACTGGTGGGTTACTCAGAGTTCAGGCTGTATTTCATGCACTGAATCACTGGGTTCTTTTATCTTTTCAGATGATTCAACTCACTTTCAACAGAATAGCTGAACTATAATAATTGATCCTTTCTGTACTGAGAAGGTGTAAAGTGTGTATGAAGTCAAAAAAACTTTTCCTTATTACAATATCAATGCATGATTCTATCCAAAGAAGAAAAATAAAACATGTACATTTTAAATGTGGCTATCTTTGTCTTAACTGAAACACTGGTAAGAATCATCATAGTTACAGGATTACAGCTGTAATAAAGAAAAAATAATTAACCCATTTTGCAGTATCTGCAAGTTTACTGATGCAAACAAGTGCCAAAGATTATTGCAAGGTAGGTGGTCCAAAAACAGTGGTACTGTTTCCATTTATTTCACTCATTTTTATCATCCTCTTTTTCCTCACTTGCTCTGAATTTTCACAGTATAAAAGGAAAGGTTTGTTGGTCATGGGTTTGCTCTGCTGCTACAAGATATCACTAATCTGAGTTAGGATCTGGCAGAGAAATCACACTCCAGAATCTGATACTGAGACTAAGAATACGCAAGTGTTATTTAAAGAATGTCACTTCCTTTTCAAATAAGCTCCTAAATGTTTTTCTCTGCAAGAAAAACATTTTGTTGATAGAAGAAACAGTATCGCTGGAAATGGCATTTTTCAAAAGTAAGCAACACAGCTTTAAAAGCTGATTTTTTTTCTCTCAAATGATAAAGCTGCATTAGTAAGAGCTTAATATGATATTTATACTCTTGGAATTTTCTTAACCTTTCTGGCTGTCCTGAACTGAGTGAAGATAGTGGATCCATGCGCATTAGCTAAAATACTATCCTAAGCAGAGCTTTAATACAGTGATTGTAACATGTAATTTTTCTTTCTTACCTGTACTGTCCTCAGTGAAGATTTTGAGGAGGCAGTTCTTTGCAGGGGGGACTTGGAATTTGCACGAACTATGTCTAGGCGAGACTGATAGTCCGATGGATAAAGTGAGCTCCGAAAAACCTGTTGAAATGGAGAAAGCTGTGACTCGGGTACCATGATACAGCTTGCAAGCTAAGAATCACCTAGACTGAAGCTAGCAGAAATGCAGCATTGGACAATGAAACCTGATCTAGGTCTGTTGTCTGTATTGATCACTTTTAGCTGAAACAACATCCTTTCTCAACCTGAGACACATAACAAACTTATGTGGTCAAAGTAAACATTCTTCAGAGACTTGAGGGCATTTACACTTGGAAAACTGCAATGCTTTCTCACCAGGATATGTAGTGGAGTTTCAGGCCAACCTAGAGGTATGAACCCCAGCAACTGCTTCAGGTTCTCCATTTCTCAGAAAGATGAGCTTTTAGCCCCTTCACAAGTAAATCCTTGCTGACAGTCACAGCTGCATCAAAAAAATTTTACTTGAAATGTTCAGGAGATGCACAGCTTGAGAAAAATTTGGGAAACCTCTCAGAATACAGAGAAGACTGTCAATCAATTCTTTTTGCAAGTTATTTCTAATAACCCATAAAGCTATTCATGCAAGACTTTAATAAAGTCAAGGAGATGGCAAATTACAGTCAGTATTTTTATGGAAAGTAAATAATTGTCCAATTAACAGGAAATTTAAAATGAGATTAGAAATTTGCTTGTGAAAGACAAAGTATTGACTTAAAGGATTTTTCTGAATTGGTGCCACATGACATTTTAATTGTGAAACTAGAATAGTACAAGATTGCCATGGCATAGTTTAAATGAAGTTAAATTACCAAGTAGTCTCAAATATGATTGCCACTGAAGAATCATGATTTTTTGTGTCTTGCACAAACTGAATACTTGGTCCTGAGCTATGTCATGGACAAAATAAAATTAGGACTGGCAAGATTTACAGAAAAAGACTGAAAATGATCCAACTTTCTTGACAAGCTGAACATATATATACAATGTCCATTTCAGTGATGCTCAGTTTAAAGGCCCAACATCCAGAAGAACTGCAAGAATAAATAAAGGACTGAAAAGCAAGTCTTGGGAAAGAGAGACTGTAACTCAATAGAAAAGAAAGGGTGACTGCCACAAGACAAAAAAAAACCCAGTAGCTTTTTAATGCAGTAATTAGTCTTTAGATCATCTGATCAGAGCTGTGTAAGATTTTCTCTATGCGTATCTTTACAGCAAGATTCACTGCAGAGGTGTTCTTTAAGAACTTTGAATAGCTGAGCTTGGAGTCGCAGGTAATTTCGAAAAAATCTCTCACCTGTGTTTTGTGAGAATGATTAGATGGCCACTGCAGTTGTTCTGTTTGTGTTCCCTGAGATTATAAACCTGCATGCTTTTGTTGGAGAAGTGCAAAAAAAGGCTTGATATACAAAAGAAGTTTGTTCTGGGAATCTGAAAAATGCTGCATTTTTCTGCCTGGGATATGTATAGCCCAAGTGTGAAAACTGTTTTTAGGTAGGAAGTATACTGAAAAGCAAATCTTCATCACACTTACCTCCAAATCTTCATTTTCATCAATATTTTGGATATTTTGGTAGGCAGCAGTATATATCTCTAAAGCTTTCCCATGGAACAACATTTCAATAGTTATAAATTCAGAAAAGATGTTCTAAAAGCAAATGAAAACAAAGATTTTTTTAATCCAGTAAAGTACATTTCCACTTCAAAAAATTACTGAGTTCTGTACTTGTTATTTCTATGATACATATAACTGCACAATGCGTAGTACTTTTAAGCAGTCAGACCTGAATTTCAGAAACTAAACATAAATGCTGGCTGGGCTGTGACTTATGCAGTTGTTATTATTTAATTATAAATTCTAAGTAAACGTTTGAAAAGTGAAGAGGAGACTCATTAGGAATAACATCATGGTGAAAAGACACTTAATAATCCCCAGTATGTATTTACAAGATGTAGTTGGTGGATTTTTGCTTTATTGAAGACAATAGTTTATAACAGGTTGGGGGTAAGTTATCTGTAAATTCTATACATATCTATAATTTACAAATAATTATATATTTTACATAATTAAGTATTCCTTATATATTTACCCCCCCCCAATTATGACATCTTCAGAAATCACAATCTTTTTCATAATACTTCACTATCAAGTACTGATTGGTTTGGTTGGGTTTTTCAACCATGTTTATTCTTTCCTGTTTAGTCTGTGTCTCCTCCCCTTTCCCCCTAAAAAAAATCACTAAAGCAATTTTATAATTAAATGAGATCACATAATGCAAATGTTTTTCAGTCACTGTAGTCTTTGGGACTTATACCACTTAATGTTTGACATTAAGAGAGAAATTAAAGCTTTCACTGTTTGCAGTCACTGAACATTTTGTGCTTTTTGCATCAGTAAAACTTTTAACTGCACTAATGTACACATACTTCAGCATGGATAAATATATTATTCACTTATCACTATTTCTGTTAATTCTGCTGATATTAATCCACATATCATTCCACGAAAAAATGCAGCTATCAGTGAAGTAGAATACAGTAGCTCTTGAAAGGTGCAGACACTAAACAACTGGATACAGAAAAATTTTGAATTCAACAAACTGTAAGAATAATAAACTGATTTTTTAATTTCAGATCTTCTCGTATTTGGATTATGGATGTTCCTGTGTAACCTGCCTTAGGTGACCCTGTCTTAGCAGGGGGGTTGGACTAGATGATCTCCAGAGGTCCCTTCCAACCCTAACCATTCTATGATTTTGAAATATTCATGAATACAAGACTTGCATTTAAGTGAATATTAAATGTTGCTAATCTTGCCCAAGACTTAACTATAGTCATTTTACTGTGCAAGATAAAATTGATGTCACATACTGAAATGTGAGCACACATACTTTGATGTCCTTTATCTTCTGTTTCTCGAAATTATCAATAGTTTCCTCTAATTGCCGAGTTGTTCGAGTAGCATCCAGTGTCGCTCTCTGCAGTTCACTTTCAGCCTGGTAAAGTAACACCAAGGTGAAATTAGTCTTGTATTTGATACAAAGCTATTTGCTCCAATTGCCATGAAAACATTGAAGTCTGGGTTTTCAAAACACTACATATCTGTGTTACACTATTTGTAAATCTGTAGTTTAATAAACATATAAAGCTATCTCCTACACTGTTGTGACTTGGATGTGAAACATGGAAAATGACCAGCTGCAGCCAGTCAGGAAAGTCCCTCTGCCCTGATCCATTTTCCATAATAATTATCTGATAATTTAACTGAGCCAGCCCTGACACCCCATTGACAACACAGGGACTGGGTCTGGGTACTTAACCAGCACAAGGGTTTACTCTTCAGAAAAGTTCTTGTTTGTTTTGGTTATTTTTTTTTTAAGCTTGCTCAAAGGAGAAGGCAGGACTGAAATGCCAGTGCAGTGGATGAGCAGAAAAGATCACCCTTGTTTTCAAGTGCAGATCAACCTGCTGGTTCTTAAAGAATCTCTTGCAGTGTCCTGCCCTGAACCTCATCTTACTAAGTTTTTATATATTATTTAAAAAGACAATTAGAGCAGCAGCCAAAACGAATGCATTTATCCTGTCAATATCTCAATAGGCAGGCTAGAGTTGTTATAATTTCTAGATCCAAAAGCATTTCAGGTATTTCATATTTTCAGTATTTTTGTACTATTAAAATATTCTATAGAAAACATCTTCAACAGGGCACTGGGATGGGGACACATCAACCAATCCCTAACACATAAATACACAGTTTTTCTTATTTTGTTACTGCAAAAACCATGTAGGTAGTTATTTTGATTACATATAATTATGAACTTTATAAAAATGCACACTACCATTTAAATAAAGATCTTGAAACTATTCTGGTTGTGTCAAGTCTGAAAACTGTATATTACTACAAAATAATGATGTAAGAGCTTGCACTTGAAGACAACAAAATTTGGGTCTAAATTTATGTAGGCTCAGTAAGTATCATCACAAATCCATTTTGTGCTGAGATTTGAAAATAGTATATGGATCAAGTATTGTATTCTATGATCAAGTTGTAGGATTCTTCCCATTTCTAAAAAACTGCAACTTAAGACAGGAAATTTTTTTTAAATAGACACCACAGGCCCAGTTCCTGTGATCTAGTTTTTGGAAACCTAAGGCATAAGGCATGCTCTGTTCACTTCTTTGATTACAATCTCATAACCTTGTATTACAGGATTATCAAATGGAAACAATCTTTCAAAAACAGCTTTAAGTCACAGACACAATTCTGCCATTACTGGGCAAAAAAAATTGGTATCAATGTTTATCAGTACATAAGGTCACCTGTTCACCTCTCTTTCTTGATTTTGCCCAAAACACAGGAGGGAAACCGAGTAAAAAAAGACATTTTGTGAATTCTCTATTAGTTCAAACAGTTACTCCCTGTAAGTGAAGGCAGCATAAGTTGCATAAGCGGCCATTACACATACAAATACAGTACGTTATTTCCATGATAATAAAATACATCTTCTCAACACATCTTAAATAGACTGGCCAGATTTTGTGCACAGATGCTTTGGGAAGGAATTCTCTCTGTTGTAGAGTGAAATGTCTAAAGTCACAGAGCCTCCACAGTTTGCACAACAGCAGTTTGATATTTTCTCTTCTAAACACTCACCTGTGTCTGGAAATACTAGTGAAGGAAAAAAGGGCAATGTAACAATGAATATTCATTAAAGTATGCATTTTCACTTCTGCTTTTAATATGCTGTGAACTATTTAACTTAGTTATTTCAAAACTTCTGTATACTGAGTGCTACTATTATGTTATCTGAAGCTTCTGGCTCAAAGACATTACAGTTTGTTACGGCTTTGCTAGAATTCAAGTATCCAGACCAAAACAGGACAGCTGTTCGACTTGGACTGAGGATTTGGTTATTTATTAAAAAAAACCCACAAAACAAAAAATTAGACAACTTAGGTAGACTATTTCAGGGCAAAAAAAAATTGATATAAAAAAAAGTATTTTTATATTTTTAAAAATCTGGTAATGTTTTCTTTTCAAAGCTGTACTACTCCCCACCCCGCCCCCATTCTGTAAGATGAGAGTGAGTGCAGATCCTTTGCTATCTGGGGCCAAAGTTGTTTGCTGCTGCAACATCACAGTTGCTCGACCATAAGAGAAGCATTGCAGGAGCCCAACTACTGTGCTCTAGCATGGTGAAGCCTCTCTGAGACCTGAAAGCAGGACCTGCACACATCCTCAAAAGCAAAAGAACATATTCCTGCTCCTAATACCTTTTCATACATTTTGTGTCAATCACTTTAAAATGCAACTATGCAGAGTTTGGTGCCTTTGGCCATATGCAAAACCCGACTGTACTGAGATTTTGTAACTCTTCAGGCAAAGCTTTAACTACAGAAAACACAGGTGTTACAAGAAGCTAAGCCACAGAAGTGTGTTTGTGAGAAGCTTAGCAAAGAGACAAGAAGAAATTAACTAGGTGCCAGCGACACTCCCATGAAAAAACTACTGCTCAAGAGGGAGGAAAATGGGACCAGTGTCCCTCTGGGGAGAAAGCTTACTGTTCCAGTTTACTCCCTTAATTCCAACAGAAAAGAACTCTGCATCACAGCTCAAGTTCTAACTCTATAGCTGACATGCATCTGTCTTTATTATAGAAGGCATTCAAATTAGTCATCACTTGATCTAACTGATCTGATTAATATTAGATGTGAATTCTTTGGCAGAGGCGGCAAAAATAAAACGTAATTCTCCTGTGTGGCATTTGACCATCACAATCATTTTCGCTTTCTATACTCCCACGCTCCAGTCACTAGAAACATCCTAATTTCTGAAATAAAGTTGATAAAATCCAACTAAGGATAGGACTGCTTAACTCCTGACTCCAGCACTAGAGTGTCATAAAAAGTAAACAGCATATCATCATGAACTTAAAATGCTTTAACATAATATGTAGGCATAAAGGGACTGAAGTAGCATTGCCTTGATCCCCTTTATTTTGGCCTTTTCTGTATTCTGATTGCTTCAGAATTTGAGACTTCAATGAGATTTTAATGGAAATTCTGTATACTGGGGAAGGTGAGTGGTGTTTGGAAAGGAAAAGTCTAGTTGAGTATTCTACTAACAGAATAACAACTTTTCCTTTCACACTTCATCATGTAGCTGGAGGAAACTCATACCCCATCTAGGTACAAGGAAGCACAACTACCAAAATGACAGGAAGAAAAACAATAAAACAAGAAATCTACAGAAATAAAAAAGAAGTTGTCTGATTACACTTATTTTCAAAAACTTCCAAATTCCTAGTAAACTATGCCTACCTCTCCTGCATAAACATATCAAATAATTAATAGTTTCTGTTCAATTCAAAAAGAAGTAACAAAGCAGCTATTGTAAGCTGTAACTCATCATAAAGTTTAAGAGGAGCTTCGACATTGGAGATAATCCCTCTAAGAAGACTTATTGCTACTACTACTTTCTTACTATTTTCTAAACACAATAGTTTAATTCCCTAGAAATTTTAAAAATATTTCTCATCGTGACTAGAAAAAGAGGATACAATAATGTGTAGATCTGATGGATTCCGCTGACGTGTCTTTTCCAGCTGAGATAATTGCTTGGCTTCTCGGTTCTTTGCTGTTAAAGTTGCTTTAAGATCATCCTGGAAATAAAAATGTTTTAGACATGTTTGACATAAAACTAGGATAATACAAAATATACTTCCCTTCATACATGCATTGCCTAGAAAACAGACAAAACTTCTGCTTTAAACAAAACCAGATTTTACAAATCTTATCTTGTTAATTGATCCTCTGAAAGAGAAGTCAGTGGGGACCAAGGGAGTTTAGCACCTTGCAAGCTCCCTATAGCACGCACTATAATTTAAAATGTGGGGAAGAAAAATATATTCACAGCTTTTCATGACAAGTATAGCAGATGGTCAAAAGCTGAGATCACCAAAGCAGTAAGAAGGCAGGCCCATTCCTGACTTAGAATAAAGGTGGCATTCAGAAATAAAAAGTGGCATCAAATATATCAGTAAGAAAAATAACAAAGCAGGAAGCAGCCAGTACCAGTCAGAAGTTATGAAGAAAACGTAACTGCTGTCACCGGTCCAGAGGACAGCAGAGCTGGTAAAGGGTCTGGAACACAAGTTTGATGAGTAGAGGCTGAGGGAGTTGGAGGTGTTCAGGTTGGAAAAAAGGAGGCTCATGGGGGACCTTATCGCTCCCTACAGCTCCCTGAAAGGAGGTTGTAGCCAGGTGGGGGTTGGTATCCTCTCCCAGGCAACAAGTGACAGGATAAGAGGACACAGTCTTAAGCTGCACCAGGAGAGGTTTAGATTAAATATTAGGAAAATGTTTTTAACTGAAGGGGTGGTCAGTCATTGGAATAGGCTATACCCAGGGAAATGGTACAATCACCATTCCTGGAAGTGTTCAAAAAGATGTGGACATGGTTCAGTGGTGAACATGGTGGTGCTGGGCTAACGGCTGGATGATCTTAGAGGTCTTTTTCAACCTTAACGACTCTATAATTCTACGCTACACAGATTTCAAGGTACCATATAAAATCTATGGCTGAAAGGGTTGAACTGCATATTTTTATATATGCAGTTAGTAAGGTGTTCAAAACCACTGGAAACAAGACACAACCTAGTAACGATGTAGCTGGAGAAGATGAAACTTACTATAGAAAAGGCAGAAACTGCTGATAAATATTTTTGCTCCTCATTTCCAAAGGATGTACTTCTACAGAGACCTCTGACAATTTAAGCATGTTTACCTACCAGTCTCGAATTTTTGTTCATGCTATAAAACTGTGTTTTGCAGAGTGTTTAGCATTCATGGGATCTAAGATTATCAGTCAGATATTTATGACTTCCCTGATCCTGGTATCAGAAATGACATACACTTTGATGGCTTCAATTTAAAGGAGCAGTAGTTTAGAACAAGCAGAAATATAGCCAAAAGTCTTAAAAAAATCTGAGCCAGAAGTTAGGTATGCATTTCAAACAATTTTTTTTTCTAAAAATACCAGTTCCCATTTATCCACTACTTCAGAATGGAGGGAATTAGGGCTATTAGAAACTATCGTATTAGGAAGTAGTCTATGTTCCTTCCTTGGATTTCAGAATTTTAATATGCTTGTATGTCTCCTTTACCCAGAAGGATATGCAACCAAAGATGTGTCTTTCAGCAAGTTTTGTGACCCTGTGACCAGATCACTTGTCAGTGACAAGCACAAGCGCACCAAGTTTCACAGTGCTGTGTTCCTTCAATAATGAGTCTGTACATGAGGTCAGGGTCAAAAAACACAGTTTCTTCTTTGTTTCTGTCTTTACTGTCTGTCTGTATGTCCTTGTGTATGACTCATTTTGCTTCCCCTTTGGGGGGACAAAGCTGGTTTCTGATAATAAAAACTCTTGTATCTTTACCCCATCAAAACTAATTTTACTGCTGTTCTTTCAGAAGGGAATTTACACCACCTTTAAGGTCATCCAAAACATTGCTGGAAAGGGCTTTCCCTTTATCAAAACCATGAAGCTGCAAGAAAAGCAATAATAGAATTTTTTTAATTGTTTTATTGTTTTGAGTTTTAAACTTTAAAGGTAGAGAAAGAGAAAAATTATTTTTTTTTTATAGAACAAAACAGATTTGTACCTAACTGTCACAGCTGCATGTTTAGTGTTGTTTAATGACTAAAGCCTGTTAACAGCACTGAATTCCAGGCCCATCTAAAACAGTCAATCACATTTAAAGCTGAGGCTGAAAGGGTTCTGACTTTCATATACTTCAGGATGCAAAGTTCTAGAGTTGTTATAAAATTCAGTATTTTCTTCCTAGCATGTAGTGACTTTGGAAATACTAATAATAGAGTTCCCTCCTCTACCTCTGTTTTCTGTAGCCTCAGCCACCATGAAACACACTTCTCTACTAGCCAATACCTGATAAAGAGTTAGCACTACTGTGGCCACACTGGTGAAGCTATACACAAGTTTTGGACATATAAAAGTAGGGCACAGTTACATGCACATTTTGTCTAATATACTGAAAAACTGAAAAGGGTGCAGAAAAAAACCCTGTAAAAATATTAAAAAGCTGGGGAAAATGTGATTACGGTGAAGGAATCAAGGTGTACATTATTAACTAACAGAAAAAAAATGAAAGATTGGTTTTACTAGCATCTAAATACCTTTATTCAGAAAAAAACCCAGAGCATTACAGAGCTCTTTCATCTCAGTGGAACATATAACAAGAATCAGAGATTAGGAGAAGTCTTTCATTTAAAACAATACACCACAAACTCACCACTTACTACCACAAACAGTCCTACATGCCCCTTCAGTGTCTTCAGACCAAGCTTTGACATATTTTTGGAAAATATGCTTTAATTACACTCGAGGAGAAATGGAATGGAATAGGCAATGAGTCAAAGGGCAGATAGAGAGAACAGAAAATTATTCATAGTCCCTCTGGCTTTTAACTATGAATTCAAGTCACACGTAAGAACTCTGGTCACCCATCTAATTTCAAGCCATAGAGAAGTACAGCTACAGTCTGTCCACCAGACAATGAGCTGGCAGAGCCTCATCACTGTACTGTTACCTGCTTCAGTCACTGAAGTTATTAAAGCAAACCAATCCTTTCTTCTGCACGTGGATCACCTTGGTTTTATGATGTCCTGTTTTATATGAAGAAAAGGAGCCAGGAACAGAGTTGCCAAAAAGCAGAAAAGTGAAGATTGATATAGAGAACAGTGAAACAGAAAGAAATCCTAAAATCCTACATTTAAGCTGCATTACAGAACAAGAACATTATATTAACATCCACTGACAAGCTATTTGGCATCATAAACTGGAACAAGTGAATGAAACAATTTTATTGCATTAGCAGTTAAAGGACAACACTACTCTGATTATCTGGGCCTCTTTAAAGCATTTAGTAGCATAGGATGCTGATGTCTTATGCCACAGAAATAGCAACAGTCCTTTTTAGATAAAGCACAGAAATACTCTTGTGTGCATCCTGGAACAGTTCCAATAAGTGAGCAGCAGTGAGAACATTCCCTTTATTCAAAGTGCTATAATGACATGTTCTAACAGGTTTTACTCAGCTAAGGTAGTTACAGGTAAAGCAGTCCTACACCTTGTGCGAAATTTGAGTCACAAAACTTTCTTTTTCACTAAAGATGTCCCAGTGTTTAGAGACGATAAGTGAAGACCAGACAGCTGAAATTTTAACCACAGCTTATGGTTAATGTGCAATGGGGAAAAAAATAACCATTTAATGGCCTACGTCTTTAGCAAAACCTTAGTTCAAAGGTGTGTTGATAAAATAGTTAATCCCACCTAGAGTTTAAGAATGCTCTTGTACTCCTCACTGTAGCTGAAATAAATATTATGCAATGCTTTCTGGCATTCTGAAAGGCAAAGACAACAGGAAATGCCATTCACTGTTGCAAGGGATGACTTGGCTTCAGTTGCTTCTGTCCTCAGCATTACTGGCTATCAGTGGCAATGCACCTCAAGAGACCGTTCCTTCAATGCTCTGCAAAACCCAGGCACTGCTGTAGTGCACTGTGTCTCCTCAGCAACCATACTGCCACAAACACATGAAGCTTGTCTTCCACCCTCATCATTTATATCCCATGGAACACTCAGATCTAGATCTCACGAACTGGGTTTTATAATGACTATTAGAATACCAGATTCTAGGCTCTATACTCTACAACTCTGCTAAGGACCACCACATGTAATCCCGCTCAAGTGCAGGATGCATTTCCTTCACAATTGTTTCTCCAACCTCCAAGTGAGGTAGCTGGGGAGTAAGTTCCAAACACTGTACTCGGTTCTTCACCATATGGAAAAGATACAGAACAAGAACATATGAAAAATGCTAGTTTGAGATGCAATGCCACAACATGCTCAAATTAACCATAATGAACACACTGTAAGACTTTGGTATGTAAAATATCATCAAAGAATAATAATTTAATACTTTGATTTATATAGACTATGATACAGATATACATCAATTACAGATTTGAGTTTACAGGATTAAGGTATTCTATGTGTAATACACAAGTATTATGAAGATCTACTTTTGTCCTATAAACTAGTATCTGCTTATTGAAAGTTACTTGCTCAAGCTTATCCCTCCTGGAGAAAAGAAACTTACAGATATTTTAAGGGAACATTTCAAATCCCTATAAACACTGTTTCTAAAATATAGTGAATGAAGAGACCTCAGATTTTTGTGTATCTTTAGGTAATCATGATGACTTAATAGGACAGAGAGGGATTTAGGCCACTACCTGTGTATCAGCTTCAAATGTGTCTTCTAAATTACGAACTTTAATGTAGAATGGAATTCTGAGTCAGAAAAGTTGCTAAAGGCAGCATATTGATGACTAAGAGGCAAAAGTATTACATATAATTCACCTTTTGGAAATCTGAATAATAGAAGTAATAATCATAATCATAATAATAAAAAATCCCAACAATAATAAATGACATTATTTACACTATCCAAGAAGTTTTACACTATCCACAATGCCTATTTTTAGCATTTGTTTGTGCTCAAAGAGCCTGAATATCCTTGTCTTCACACCAAAGCTTTTTTCTCCAACATATATATATCTTCAATTTAGATGTATTACTACATAATTAAGTTAGACTGATTATTGCAATATGAAATATCAGCACCACTCCCCCCGAAAGCAGAAGTTTTCAACTGAGCAGCCAGAACACTGAAATGTGCCTTGTGAGAAAACAGATGTTTAACCTACCCTTTTAAGTTTCACTATGGTCCCGTAACATTTCAGAGGTTCAACAACCTTGGCTTCAAGCCTGTCGACCTACAAAAGAAATCACAAGGCCACTAGAATCATCCATATCTATGATGTGCAGAAACAGGAAACAATTGTGACTCATCTTATTAGGAATTAGTCCATATATGCTGAAAAAATAGTGGGATAGTTTTAAAAATATTGTAAAAACTACAGTCAAGTATATTAGCCAATAAACAATTTGTATTTTGAGGAGATCAAGCTGATTTCTAGTGGAATTACTTTTTCCTTAATTGGAAACCCATCAGGATAAACGAAACACTGAGATTCTAACAACTGAGTACTAAATGCATCAAACTCTGCATCTTGGAGATCTGTAACTTTCTATCTAAAAATCAATGTATTTGCTCTACACTTACTGATAGATTACGGATTAAGCCATCTTTGCTATCAAATATATTGTACAAAATGCAACACTTCTTAAAAATAATGGAAACAGCATCGTCCAATAACAGGGTGTGTAAAAGGCAGAAATGTTCTCACAAATGAGTGCATCTAAATTTTTGTTTCAGGTCTCCTACTTAGAAAAACAGTTACATATGGTCAGACAGACAATAGGATAAGACCTGCTTGTCAAACCTTATAACACTGTCCAAGCAGCCCCAGCATAAGCTGCCAATGATTTAGGGGCCAGATGGGCCAGATCAGGACAAGGTGCATACCTCTATTAGAAATGTAAAGTTCCCTCTAAACTGGGCTAAAATTTATGCCAGCTGAGCAAACATATTTCCTTTATATACTCTACCAGTGCACTGTCAATCAATTTCACTTGAACTGCCAATAAAATAGAAAGGATTAGGGCAGTAAAGCTCCGAATGAAGTGCATGTTACTTTGGTCTCTTTTTTGAATTATAGTGGGTCTTAGCTGTTCAAAACTACAAATGGGAATTTTCTACACTCTACTGAACGTATAGATACATACTCCAAAAGCTAGTTTGAGTCCATGTGAATGAATTTATTTTGTCCTAAATTGCAGTATATGGAATCCTGCATCATACCTTACAGTTTGACTGGCCCTGCAGATAGATGTGTAAGTGGCATAAACACCTTTCTTTACACTCTCACTCATCTAGCAGACATGTGACTACACAGTCACACATTGTCCAAATCAAGTTTGTACTTTGAATGTTAAACTACAAACTTTAAGAAATCTACAGTGGTCCCTGACAGCATCTCAGTGGGGCTATCAGTGCCCAGTGAAGGATTCCAGTTAGTATTCTCTTCCATACTATTTCAGGTAAGACTCAACAAAAGGAAAATGACTGATTTTACCTCAGCTGCTGCCAGACAACTCAAGTCACACAAATAAAAAGAACACTTTATTAACCATAAATCGCAATCCAAACTCTAAGACCATTAAAAAACTTGTTCCGTCTCAAATACTTTAAGTGTTCATAGGGATAGTTTTGCTGACTTCAACAGGACTAATTGCATTCATTAGTTTTCATTAGTTGTTAGGGGAGTAAATAATGAATACTTTAGCAGCCTACTCTGATCAGATGTTAATATATTTAGAAGTGTTTTCTCCTATGTTTTTCTTGTCATTGCAGAGTATATATTTCCCTTTTTAATCACAGAGGAGTAACTGAAAAGTTCAGATGGCAAATACAACATGTACAGCTTTAATTTTGTACCTCTGCCTGGCGATAATCCTGAAGTCTGGAAAATGCATCTGCAAAGTTTTTCAGTCCAACTTTTAAGTTTGGTGTCTCTGTGGCTGCATATGCATATATTTCATTTACTAGAAGATCTGCTTTGTCTCGTAGTCTGGCAGTTTTACGTACATATCCAGCAAATATTTGGCATAATTCACCAAAATGTTTTTCCACATTTGAAACAGCATCTTGTATTTGTCTAGTCTGATTGTCCCTGGATACAAAGAAAAATAAGTTAAAAATAAGAAGGGCACAAATCAGTGCAAACCAGAAATTTATTTTTAAAAAGAGAATATTGTAACAGTCTGATGTACTATGTGTTTATTTATGAATGGGTAACAAACAAACAAACAAACAAAAAAAAGCAGAATTTACACTTAGAGATCCAAGAGAGGAAACTGCAAATCACAAAAATATGCTTGGAAGTTTTCTTACTGTATTTAAGCAAAAGCTCACTATTACTATTGGTATTAATTACTGACAGAGTGGTAACACCTGAAGTCTCAGTCAAGACCTTCCCAAGACCACTGCTTCCTGCACAAGTCTGCAATCTAAACTGGCAAGTCAATGGCTGGAGAAATTAGGCAGCAGAGGACAAACTGTAAAGGTATTAAATGGTTTTTAAATCATGAAAACCAATCTGCTCCTGGTCAGCACCACAAAGGATAAATACTGCTGACAATTAAAGAAGAAAAGTGGATGGACACAAATACAGAGGTGAACAGTCTGTACCACTGAAAGAACGTTCATTACACTAATAAATTATTTTCTTTTAAATTACATAAGTCTAATTAATTTGATCCAAATGCCTGTATGTTTCATTATTAATGTCCTAGATGAGTCATTCAAATAATTCATGTATTTCACTTTGTATTTTGCTTTCATATTTCTACACCATTTGATGGTTGTGTGAATTCATGCCAGTTGTTGACAGACTGAATCAGCTACAAGGCAATTTAGCTATAAGTTATCTTTCCATATACTGGGACCTAAGAAGTCTCCATAGTCAAAGATGAGACTATTCATGTGAAGTGCTTGAATTCTCAGCAAGAGAATTCACTTACACCACTATCTTGGCAAGGGGCAGAAACAAAAACTTCCTTCATATCCTTAAGCTACCTCAATATTGCTGACCAATATTTAAATATTGACTTCCTATCAGGACACAGGAAGATCAGAATAATCGGAAGAAATTTAGTATTTTGAGAATGAACAGTAATGCAGTCAATTCAAGCGAGGAACATTTTTATTTCAGGAAAAGTATTTCAGGCCAAAGTTACACTACGGGCAAAAACCCAGTTGCATTGCTTCATGGCAAGCACTCTAGAGGGCTGTTAGAAAGAGATTTCATTAAAGGAAAAAAAAATCCTAGTAAGTTGTTTAGTCCTCCAGAACATGCTGGAGCACAGAACCATTTGAATAGGGAAGTTTTCATCCAGTGAGTGGGAAAGTAAGAATTTCATTAAGTCCTAAAGAAGTTGGTTTTCAAAATTAATACTACGTGATAAAATCTTCAGTTAAAGGTACATCCTATTTTCTTGGAAGGTCTTCATGTCAGAAAGTTCCCCTCCCGGGGGAAAGCCTTAAGCACATTTCCTCACCCCCTTTACAATTCAGATCTCACAATACTCCCATGCAACTCGTATTTAATTTGGAGACACGAAACACTGCAGTTCCTTATATGGGGTGTGAAAATTTTTATCCCCCCGTCATTTTGCACGATCGCTTAGAGTTGGCCACAAAATTATCCGCGACAGGCCCAAATATCGACACATCATTACTTCATCCTTGCAGAGCACACCAAGCCTAGAAAAGTTTTGCGGCCTTTCCCGGAGGGAGGCAGAGGCGGCCCCACCGCGCGGGGCGGGCCGATGCGCTAACGGGGACTGGGCCCGCATCGGCCTCCGACCGCCGCGCCGGGCCCCGGAGCCCTGCCCGCGGCCGGGCCGCCTTCCCCGCAGCACCCCGGGCTCCCCCGGGCCTCCCGCCCCGTACCTGGCGTCCAGCCCGCGGCCCAGCAGCATCATGATGGCGGTGGCGGCGGCGGCCCGTCGGGAAGCAGGGAGGGAGGGAAGGAGGCGGCGCTCGGCGTGCGCTCGGTTTCCATGGACACCGCCCGCCGCCTGCGGGACGGGCTGCGGCAGATCCGCCCCCGGGAGGCGCCGAGGGGGAACTCACGGCATCGCAGGAGCCGTTAGGTTGGAAAAGATCTCTGAGATCGTGGAGCCCAACCTGTGACCGAACGCTACCATGTCAGCTAGACCATGGCTCTGAGTGCCACGTCCAGTCTTTCCTTAAACATCTACAGAGACGGCAACTCCACCACTTCCCTGGGCAGCCCATTCCAATGCCTAATCACCCTTTCTGTGAGACATTCCTCCTAATGTCCAACCTAAACATCCCCTGACACGGCTCAAGACCATTTCCTCTCGTCCTGTCACTCGTTGCCTGGGAGAAGAGACCGACCCCCACCTGGCTCGTTGTACAGAACACCAAGGCTGACCGAGTTCAAGGAGAGTTTGGATGATACTCTCAGGCACACGGTGTGACTCTTGGAGATGATCCTGTGCAGGGCTAAGGTTTGGACTCGATGATCCACGGGGTTCCCAACTGAGGACGTTCTGTGATTCTGTGATTCCTGGGGCAAACCACTAGTGACTGGAGCTGTCCAGGTGCTCCAGGTGACCCTCAGGGTGTGCAAAGCCTCACACTCGAGCCTGGCCCAAGGGCAGGGACTAAGTCTGTGCCAGGACAAGTGCAGCATCAAGGCCTGGACTGGTGCAGGAGCAGAAAGCCAGAAGGCTCAAGCCTGTCTCATAAAATAAAATAAAATAAAATAAAATAAAATAAAATCAAATCTAGCCTTGGCAAGCGACAAGCAGTACCAGGGGATGTGGCCCAAAGGTCTTCCACCTGAGGGAGAGCTGCCAAGTTTGGGCAGCCATGGGAAAAATCCCATGGAGCACCAGGAAAGGTCTTAAAAAAAAATTTTTTTTTCAAAACCTTAAAGAAAACATCCCTCTCTGTAGAAGCAATGTATTGGGAATGTGACTTTGTGACTGTGTGGGCATGAGCCTATGTTAAAGTTCCTGCAGGTGCTGTGAGACTAATGCAGAAAAGGCTCTAAAAGAGGGAAGGAGAGAATTGTGCTGTGTCCAACACAAATCGACCTGAAATTGCAGCAGTCCATGAAAGCTAAGGACTTGGCCAACTGTTAGCATGCTGTCATGGAGGTATAAGACAACAACTTCACTCAGATAACAAAGTCGAGCTTTAATTTGCAACTAAGTACAATGGCCAAAACTAGTGAACAAGGTGAGTAATGATGATGTTCCCATGGCATCTAACAGGTTACAGTTTCAGTGTACCCGTCAGGCTTATTTTACTACACAAAATGCGTGCGCGCACACACACACACACACACACTCTCTCATGCACATGAAGCCTCTCACTCAAAAGCTACCCAAAAGATCCAAGGGTTGAAGGCTCACTCAGGTTTATCTAGTGGGAAAATAGTCACTCACCCAAAAGGCACTCAGCCCTTGTAAGTCTTCTTGGACTGTCATCCCAGCCCCAAGGGGAGGGCTTCTCCTCACAGATCCACTGTTCCAAGGAAAATCACATTCAGGTGATGTCCAGCAGGGCCCCCACCCAGATAACCTAGTCAGGTTGGGGCCCCAGGTCATACCTGGTCATGGGCCAGAAACATTTCTGGGCCAAGGCCCCCACTGGCTGAGGACTCTGTTGACCAAGACATTCTGTTCTCATTCCCATCACAGAGGGGTCTGCAAAAATGAGGGCACAAAAGGCTGGTCATCTCCACATGTCAACTGTTGGGGAAGGTAGGTGCTACCACCACACATGCATGAGAAAATCTGATAGGCTTGCCTGACCATGTGAATAGAAACTGATTTAGTTAAGGTTTGGTTTTAAACTTTTTATCATATTTTTCTTCTGAAAGTAGATTGTTTAGATTACTTAAACCAAAGCTTTAACTCACATAAAGCAAACTGTTCTTCAAATAATAATGACCTATTTAGTTTGCACCAACTTAAGCTAAAACAAAAGGTCACCATTTTTCCTTAGACAAGTTTGTGAAATCAGTGGTAAAACTCACCCCAAAGGTATGCAGCCCTTATGGACTTTGCAGACTAATACATGTAATTCCAGAATGTCTTTCAGAGGATGCAAGGGTGAGACATCAAGCCAACTAAAGGTCTTAATTTCTCTCAACTGCAGGCTTGAACTGAGAGATTACAATGTTTATTGTTAAATCAACCATTTATTAATAATCTAATAAATCAGTTAAATGACCTAGCAAATAATGATGTAAATATTGTTAATGTGCAATCCTGTAATTCCCCACACTGTAACAAAATCTGAGTTTATCACTCTTAGGTCTTACTCATTACACACAACTACCACTGAATTACAACTCTACCACTTGTCTCTCTACCACATCACATTGCTAGTTATCAGGGTGCAGTACAATATGTCTCTGGATGGATTTTTTAGGTGAGATTTTTTTTCCCTCCAGAAATATTTCTGATATTCCCCTTCAGTTATGTAATTCCTACTGTGGGCATATTGTTTACCCTTCACACTTTCTGAGACATACCATTCAGTTTTAGTCTTTACTTCATTCCAGTTAAATCTAAGCACTTTATCCTTTATGCAAACAGTTGACATACCAGAGAAAGGCTTATCCTGCTAAATGTTGTGGGTTTTTTTAGTTTTTCCCACTGTTTTTGTACTCACATAGCATCCTGCTCTTAAGTGTTTAATTACAAATCATTGCCCTTGACGTGTTCTTTGGACAATCTTCTGGTCTCCTGAGGTGGTCTTGTCTCTTCACAGGGACCTGTATTCCAGCAAGACCTCTCACTCACAAATTTTAAGAGCTCTGAAAGTCGAAAATATCTATTCTTCTACTTGGACCATCTTTAGACTTGGTGACCTGGCAAAGCAAGTTCCAGAATACCCAGAAATTCTTAACAAACAGTGGAATGTTGTTGTATGAGGTGCTATACAAACTTTGTAAGAAGTACAGGGTTATTTGCTTAAAATTATGGTCCAATGAGAAACAGAGACTGGCACTTAATGAGAAGCTAAAAAACTGAAAATAAGGAAAAGTTATTTGTGATTAAAATCAAATAAGTAGTTGTTATTGGAACAAGACAAAAAAGAGGAATCACAGCTCATACTCAGTTACTGAAAACTAAATCTGCTTCAGTCCTGAAGCACAGTACTTGGCATAGACATTAAAATTCTTATTTTGTATATGCTGATATCACACATGGTTTGACTTAATAATTCTTCATATGATGCTGTAGATAGTCCCGGAATATGTGGCCCACCAGCTCCAGCTGCACATAGAAAGTTGAAAATAATGTCATGAGGGCCTGTTGAAATATTGAGTCATCAGAAAGTGTACAAGAGCACAAGCTGCATAAATCATGGAGTGGAAAAATATTTTTGTACTGTGATTTAGAAATAATTATGGAGAATTTTGTTGAAAGTAATGCCAAATTTCCTGCTCATTACCTCTAAGTAAGTTTCCAGAATAACATACTAAAGATGATGACATCTTATAACAAATTCTGAAAATAAGAAAGCTCTGAAATATCCAATTGACAGTGTTTTCCAATATTCATCCAGAGGATAAGCAACAAAGTCCTGCTGATTTAAATGAACACATATAAATTCTCTGTACTGGTATATTGAAAAACAGTATGTAACTCCAGAAGTTTTCAGCAGTGGTGAAGAATTGCCTGTCAATACTAAATAGAAAAAATACAGAATACACGAGTCTGTGGAAACCTCAAGAGCACTAATTGGAATAGAATTTCTCCTGTAATATTTAGGGAATGCCTGAGTCATTGGTAAGGTAAAGCCGTTTTTCTGGGTTGGAATTTCACATTTCATCAATGAGTGTGTCCTAGATATATGTAAAATATCAACAGAATGTTCAGTCAGCTTTTGTTTGAGTTAACTGATGTTAATTTATATGGTATAGTAGTTACAAAGTGATCCATACAGGTCCAGAGGTTAAACTGCAGTGCACAGATGATGTGATAAGGTCTCTGTATGTAGCTGATATAGGAGCCCCTGGTGGTCTAGTGGTAAAGGCGTCGCGCTATCACCGCGGAGACCCGGGTTCGATTCCCGGTCAGGGCCACTCCCGGGCAGGTGGGGCTCGTTAGCCCTTAAAAAGGCAACCCACCTACGTCCTGAGGACCTCACTGCCACCGTCCAAGCTCGCTTGGCCCCGGCAGATGAACCTTAGGATTAAAGGGTGGGCTCAGTTCCGCGCACACTGTGTCTCACCTAAAAAATCCAATGCGCAGGCTGGAAGGAGTAAAGACCTTCCCCGGATCTTCGCTCGTGAAGACTGGCCATTATTATTATTTATTATTATGTAGCTGATGAGCTACCTATATATTCATGTGACTACTTCTCTTCTCATAGTGTGTTTTGTGACTTTAGAATATTTTTTGCAATCTTTAAATGTTTTTTATAACTTTCCATTTTCGTGTCCACCTATGCTATCAAATCTTATTCTATGTATGAAAAAGCAATCATTGTAGACTTTGAATGTCAAAAACCATTAATTTCAACATACAAGTTTAGCTCATAATGGATTAGGGATTGTTCTTTGAGATTTAATAATTTCAAGTGTTTTCTCCTTCTATAACATGTTCTCTCTTCCTGCTATTTCACTTCTTTGCATCTGCAGTTCCCTTAATGCAGGAACTAGACCATTTCTTATTCCTAGCTTTGTGTTTTCTCAAGAACAAGAGGTAGCTTGTGGGAACCATCCTTCCCTGATGCACAAGTCTTCAACAAGTTTCAGATATCTTAATTAAAAATCAGTTTATTAGAGAAAAAAAAAAGACAACATAATTAGAAAAACCGTAAAACACTGTTTCCTCAGGCTGGTATAACCTTCTGTCATCCATTTTGCCAGTATTGGTGAGAGCATAGAAACCTCTAGATGATTTATGCATTTGCCTGTTGTATTTTTAGTTCTGTAAAAGAGCTTTAGCCACTGTCAGAGGCAGGATGCTGGGCTAGC